CTAATGTAACTCCATGATCTATGCTTATGTAACAAATAATAAAGGACTGCAGGAAGTTGTAGATTTTCATTTCACTAAAATACGCTTTTAAAGAATCTCCATTATGTCAATATTGATGTATTAGAATGAAACGTACAGACTGCAGAAGATGGGTCATATTCATTCATTTCTAATATCAATTAAGATCCTCTACGTAGAGAGAGCGCTCCCAAAATGACCACACTTTTTGCTGATCAAAAACTAAACAATTTGTGCCAGGTATTTGTGTTGTCGCCCAAACCTGTGAAACACCCGACTCTGCTCTAAAGAAAGGCTTTTTTTTTATATTGTCGAGATACTTACCTTAATAATAGCTTTGGACAAGCTCAATCTTGGATTGGTTCCATAGAATACACGATGCTGCTCATGTACTGCTGCTAGTTTGATATTAAATGCTTGTGAACCTGTACAAAAAAAAGTTGCATTTACCTGCATATAGTACCTTTTCACAACCTCAAGAGCCATTGAAATTTTTTTTATTTTAAATTTTTTTTTGCTAAAATAGACCAATGATGAAGTATTTTTAATATAGGCAACACCGTGCAACCTCTTTTATGTGAATTAGTGGCAAACACAGAGGCACACAAGGTGATGGTAGATGGATCAAGATTAGCCAGGGAACCAGTGAAAACTTTACTGCTCGTTCTACAAAATAATGAAAGTAATCAGTTACATCTATACACTGGCAGATGAAGCCTGCACTTTTAACATGTTATCTAAAAGCAGACGGCTCAGACAGTGCAACATTTAAGTTAGGCTGACACTCCAGCACTACATTCGCTGCAGTAGAACTTGAACCTATTAGATTTTGGCTCAGGTGAGTGCCATCATTCGAGCTGCAACAAACAGGAAAAGGTGAAACAAAGATAGTAACTGAGATACATTGATTTAGGATTACATCAAATACCTTTATTAAGAAAACACTTTGGCAGCTGGCCAAAAAGCCATTAAAGAGGGAGATAGGTTGCAGCAGCATTCAAGACTGGAGATTTGGGTTAGCCTTTGCTCTTATTCCTCAATATTTCAATACTATCATTTGACAGAATTTAAATATCACTTGACAAATTACACAGTGAAAGGGAGAAAAAATTCAAAATGGAACAATTATATTAAATGTAAAAATGAGCTCCAGCCAAATACAATTGAAACAGCAAATTTTAGATCTTGAAAATCTTTATTCCATTTTCATACAATCAATAACTGCACTAATTAAACCGACAGGCATTATGACTTCCTCCATCCTTAATTTTTTCATGTTGTGTGAAGTACTACCATGAAAGGACCTAGTGCAGGAGTCTGGTTTGTAACCCTGTCAATGCACAAGTAGCTGTTTGAATTTTGAGAATTAAAATACTTACTTTTAAGAACTTACCAATAAGTTTACAAACCCTTACAGTAGTACAATATGAATGTAGTACTGAAGATTCAGTGCACAGAATTCCAAATTTTCTCTGCAGACATCCAACAAAATTGTTTTGGCTACAACCAACACTTACCCAACATCAGCTGTTAAACCACTTTAGGCCAGATTAGCCCAATTACAAATTTGCACTCATTAATTTAGGCTTCTTTTCCAAGCCACTTGTATCAAAGCACCACATGGAGATTTGCACAGAACAACCTATACTGTTGCTTACCTAGAGTTAGCTCGCATCCATCTTCAAATGTAGGTACTGGGCCATTCTGAATGTGGAACTCTGAGAATGAGCTCAACGGCACAGGTAGGGACGAAAGCAATTGCTTCCTGATTTCTATATCCCATGGATTATCTGAAATTTATTAGAATGGATCTTTCAGAAACAAGGAACACAAGCACATTTGGACCTGTATGATAGTGCAACAATTCAGAGCCAAGGGCATGTTGCAATGTTCACTGAATATTTTAATATTAATTTGGGAGACAACAGGACAGACGAATTACATAAACTTGGAGACCAATATTTCCGACTCAAAAACAGAAAAATGCAATTGTACCAGCATCAAAGCAATATAGGGAATTAGGTCCTGGCTGTAGGGTAGCTATTCTAATGAAGAGGAAATTTGTGGCTCAAGATTAAAGCCTAGAAAGTGCTGCTGGCAATATGAGGTGGGTACTGAATACATCCATACAACATTTGTATTAAAGCAATACAACATTCAAGTTTAGGATCACTCAGTACACCTGCAAGTTTACCTCATGTACCAGATAAAGGCAAATTTGTGCTTCACTCACTTGACAATTACTCTGATCATTTTTGATTAAGTAACTGTTTTCTGAAAAAAATTGTGCCACCAAATGATCTTTCAACTGAAGTTAGAAAGGATAATACTAACTAAAAACTTTGGCTAAGCTTACAAGTACCTGAGACAGTTTTGATTATTACAAGTAAAATAATCATTATTGCATATTTAAAGCAACTAGAACCACAGGTCAACCATATCTCCTACACTTGCCTCATTTGGCATTGAGCACTCCAAAAAGATCCCAGATTGGCAGCTGAATAAAGCCAAGGTGCATAGCTCCACAGTACAGAACCATCTGCCAAAAGGGTGGGTAAGTGGTTTGTAGTCAATGCTCACAGGACTTTGCTGTTCAGAAAGGAGCCTCAAAAGTATTTCAGGTCTATAACCAGTAAAGTACTTTTCCTTCTCCATAAATATTGCTGGATCTGCACAGTAATTCCAGTATCTATGGGATTTTATTAAAATTAAAACAAAATGTTACATCTGACCTCCATTTGAAGGCCAGGGACATACAAGGCAGGTTAGAGCCAGTATAGAGAGACGCACTTGGTAGAGCACACACGTCCAACTAACAAACTTAGCGGACTGCTCTTTCCTCCTAAAAAAAAAAATTATGGGTTTGTAGATATGAATTACAAACTACATAGAATAATGAAGTTTGCAAAGCAACAAATAGGATAAAAAAGGATTTCAATAAAATGATACTGATTTTTGAAAACAAGACTTGCATTATAATTACGAATATAGCTATAGAACATAGTCCTGTGGAGTTGAACGATTTGATTTGAAACTGATTTCTGCCAGTGACAGGTTCTCAAAGCATAATGGTAGCAGACAACATAAACACTCTTGACCAGAGCAGATATCAGTCAGCTCGAGGTGCTTCAATCACCACAGAATAAAGCGAAGGATAATAAATTAACTTCTAATCTGACATCAAGAAAAGAAATTCAATGAACGATCCATTACTGGGCAAAATGCTTTTCATTACATCATTCCATTCTTTGTTTTGCATACAAACATTTGGAAATCCGAGAAATAATCACTCAACATCCGACACTAAAATATTTGAAAAAATTTCTGAAACATTTTAAGTGTATAGTTAATTGTTGTACTTCAGGATATGTTTCTTTAAATATTCAGGTCGCATATGCAGCTCCTTCTCGGATTCAACACTTTAGTCATCACCAGCTATGCTCCAAGTCTGAGTTAATAGTTAAGTGAATTCTAAGTCAATCTAGTTTAGTCATACTGTCAAGAATAGTAACTAAATAGTTGCCTTGCTAACTAAGTTGCAACATACCTAAATAAGAAAGACTAAATACAGACAGCAAGTCATACCAGAGGTGGAATTCACACTGTTGGTCTCACAAGAGTTCAGTTGGCCCAGCTCCAGTTTCTCCAAAATATTCAAGTCACTCATGGTACCAAGTCCTCCCATGGAAGAAGAGGACACTGCAGAGGAAGAGGTGGTAGCAGCAGAGGACAGACCATCTTCACTTGCTTCCTGAATTGGACTGTGATACAAACAAATATTCAAATATTGTCCCATCATTTACAACACGTACCCTAACCCTATCGCAGCAGACCAAATCACCCAGCACATTAAATTTGAATTTTCATAATTCAAATTTACGATAAGAATCATATCAATCATGTGAAGGCACATTACCACTGTGGGATTAATTACAGAATATACGTGGAAATTCAAAAATATAGGATTAAATTGATTCCAATCACACTGATCCCCTATCTCACCCTACCTTATGTCAGTGGTAAGGAAATTATTGGAGAAGATTCTTATGGATAAGATTCATTCACATTTAGAAAAATATGGACTTATTAGCGATAGGCAGAACAGTTTTGCCAGGGGGAAGATCGTGTCACTCAAACTTGTTTGAGTTTTTGAGCAAGTGACGAAGATGTTTAATGAAGGCAGGGCAGTGGATGTTGTCTTTAGCAATGCCTTGAACAAAGTCCCTCATGGCAGGCTGAACAGAAGGTGAAGTCACACGGGTTCCACACAACTAGTTTAGTCATAGAAGACAGAATAGCAGTGTCAGTTTTTTCTGACTGGAGATCTGTGACCAGTGGTGTTCCACTGAGATCAGTTTGGGACCCTTGTTGTTTGTAACATACATCAATGATTTGGAGGAGAATGTAGGTGGCCCGATTGGTAAGTTTGTGGCAGACAAGAATTAGGGGAGCTGCGGATACCGAGAGTAGCCAAAGGATACAACAACATACAGATAGACCAGAGACTTGGGTGGACAAGTGCAAGGTGACACAGTTTGGAAGATCTAGTGTAGGAGGGAAGTATATAGTAAATGGTAGAAATCTTAGTAGAATCAACATACAGTGGGATGCAGACGTATAGGTCAAAAAGTTCTCTAAAGTGGCAATGCAAGTAAATAAAGGCAGTCAAAAAGGCACATGGCATGCTAGCCTTCATCATTCTGGGCACAGAGTATAAAAATTGGCAAGTCGTGTTGCATCTGTATAGAACTTGGTTAGACCATATTTGGAATATGGTGTATAGTTCTGGTCTCCACACTGCTAGAGGAATGTAGAGGCTTTGGCCAGGGTACAGAAACCGGAAGTTACCCTTTTGGACAGTATTAGCTATGAGGAGAGATTGGACAAACTTGGTTTTCACTTGAACGTCAAAAGGATGAGGGACAACCTGATAGAAGGTTACAAAATTAATGATAGGCATGGGAAGAATGGCTAGTTGGAGTCTGTTTCCCAGGATAAAATAGTCAATTCTAGGGAACATACCGAAACAGTCTCCCCCATTAAAAATCTCCCCCGTCTCCTGTGGCTCCTCAAATACCAAAACAGTCCATATTCATATGTAGCAAGACTTAGATAACATCTAGGTTTGGTGTGGTTAGTTGCAGGTGATGACCATCTTCAATAAGAATCTAAACACTGCCCCTTGACATTAACATTACCATTGCTTAATTCTCCACTGTCATCTGAGGAGTGCTATCTTGCCTTCCGAAAACTGTACTGGACCAGCCATATTGTGGCAACAACTGCAGGTCAGAAGCTAGGAGAGTGTACTTTGTGGCAAGTAACTTATCACCGGTGATCAAAATGCCTGACTTCTGCCTTATAGATAGTTGATGTGATGCCAGCCTCTCCATTTGCCTGAATGTGTGCAGCTCTAACACTCACCAATGCTCAACACAATCTGGGACAAAAATTAAGCTGCTTGATTGGCATTCATCCACTATCTTCAACATTCACTCCCTTCACCAGTTGCAGTGTGCACCATCTTATAAAGTACACTGCAACAACTTGCTCAGGCTCTTTTTTCACAGCTCCTTCTAAACCCACAATTTCTACCAGCTAGAAGAACTAGGGCAGCAGATACAGAGGAACACCACCACCACCTGGAAGTTCCATTGAGTCGTATACTATTCTGACTTGGAGTTATATCCCCAGCCATTGCTGTTGCTAGGTCAAAATCCTTAAACTCCCCATCAACATTGTGGCAGCCCATACATCCAAGGAGTGCAGCAGATCAAGAAAACAGCACAGCATCACCTTTTCCAGGGAAAAGAACAGATATTCAATTCTGGTCTAGCCAGCAAAGACCACAACTCAAACAGGTTTGTTTCTTTCCTATCCAAGCAGGTATGATAGCCCAAATCAATACTGGTGTTTATCCTTCTCAATAGCAGTAGTCTTAATTGCATGCATCTATAAAATTTCTATAATTCATTTATTCTCCTTTTCAATTACCTATTCCTCGGTTTAACATGATCTCCGTTTCATTCACTTACGTCTTTTATATAAATCATCTTCCCTGTTCTTTTGCAGATCCAAAATATCTAGCACATAGTTCAATGTGAAGCATCAAAATGGTCAGCTATTAAAAAAGTATCAAGCACTGGAAGTCTATCAATTCAACAAATAAGCACTTTGAAAATAGAATGATAATTCCTGTAATAAGGCGTTAAAGAGAAGCTTCATCTCCAACTGTGTGTTGGTCAGTTGATGTAAACTCTCTCAATGATTCTCTGGTTCATCCCAAATTTCAGCCAATTGTTTCCCAAGCTGATGGACAATAAGCAATTCTCATGAATAAGCAGTGCATAAAATTTAAAAATAGGGATTTTCTGCAGCTAATAAAGTTAGTGCTTGAATGAGGATGGTGAAAACAAAGCTTCTTCTACATAGTGAGAGACTACTTTGATAATTTAACCATTTCGACTTCAGGGGCTTTTGAATAACAAGGCTAATTATTCCACAGATCTTTCATTCAGATAAAAATTTCAATGTAGTCTAACAAAAGCCTAGCAGAAAATCACTTAGCACAAAAATTTCTTACCTCAGTTTCTTCATATGCAGAGGTTGGTCAAACAAGGACTCCTTGATGGGCGATAGTGAACTCAGAGCATTTTTACCACCATCTATACAGTTTTGTTTGATTGAACTCTCCTGGTCATCGGTTAGTGTATTTCTGTGGAAAGGGGTTGAGACCAAATGTGCCCCTCTACTAAAGTCACATGTGTTTTCAGGGTAAGGGCCAAGAGTCTTGTTCGGGTAATCACTATTCACAAAGTGGTCTTCGTTCAGGGGCTCAATCCCATCTAAATCATCCTTAAAAAAAAAAAAAATGTAAAATAGAACATAGCCGAATTCAACCACGTACGCATCCAAAACATGTTGACTGATGCTGCAAAAAATGCACCAGAGAAATTATAAACCAGTACTTAAGCTTGGTACAGTAATGGCTGTAGTCATAAACAGGGGAGAACATGCAGACTTCAACAGAAAATATTACTTGTTTTAGACAAATACCAGAGATCACAATTCTCAAGGAAAAGCAAAAACAATGGTGCATCGCTGTTAGTTCCAATTCAATTAGTCTTGGAGAATTTTTTTTTTGAAAAAAAAAGGGAGTCAGTCAGCCAGCCAGCCATTCGCAATTCAACAGATAACAAAGGGAGTTTCTGAAAAAGTATCTATGTCCAAAACTCCCAAGTCCTGATTTCACTCATGGGTGATTAAATTTAAGAACATATTGTGTCAGTGAACACAAATAGCAAAGTGCAAAAAACAGGACTCCCCCAATCTGCATACAGGAAAACAGATATCAACGATACTAGAATCTTGCTGCCTAAAATGGAGGTCATTTGGTGTGCAGCATCACCTCTTTGAAACAGCTGGCCAATGCGTCTGTCAAAGCCTGAATGTTCCCACAAATGGCTGTAAGCACATCAATTCCTTTCAAGAAGTTACATTGAATTTCTCTAACCTTTACATTCTCCAACCTTTTAAAACACTGCATGCCTGATCTAAAGACACTGCTTTTAAAAAACTCTCCCTTGATTTTTGCCAATTGTCTTAAATTGTGACCTCTGGTTATTGAAACTGATGATTTCCCCTTAACTTTCACTGCTCCAAACAATAGAACAATCTAGTTTCTCTGGATTTTGCACATAACTCCAGTCCCTTATCCCGCTTATTGCGCGAATAGCAAACTCAGTTCTTATATGGCTTCATTGAATTACAAAATGAAATTCTACAGGATTATAACTTACACATTCAGCAGAACAGGCCCCTTCAGCTAGAACACGCTGTGATGGTACAAGAGTTCCAGAAAGTTGCCATTGAGTGTTAGGCTTTAAGTAATTTGATGGGGGCCTTGGGGAAAAAAAGAAGTCAAATTGACCAACAGTCCAAAACAAAGGTTTGTATAGGAAACTCCAAAGGTAGAATTTGAATTAATTGCTTTGATCGACATTGATCTCAAAGTGAGCTGAAATCTCAGTAAATGCAGAAGGAAATTCTCTAATGATGGAATTTTCCCAAAGAGAAGCCCAAGTTTAAATTCCTGATCTGTATGGATCAGCTTATCTCAATCAGTAAGGCAGCAGTAGCACTATAATTCCCGTCCGTGTGTTCTAGGGTGGCCAGGGGGGGGGGGGGGGGGAAGAAAGAGGAGGCCCGGTCAAAGTCTACGTATCCAATTGCCGCTAAAGACAGGGAGTCTCAAGTGCAATGCAAAGCAAATAATAGCCTGTCTGCAAACACTGTCAACGTTCACTGTTAATAGTGACCAGTTGAGCAAGTTAGAGTCTCCCAGTCTTTCTTGGAAAGGCAACAAAGTAACACCACATTAGAAAGATAAAATTAGCAAGATAAAACATACATTCCACACTCACGGCACTGATTTATATTTCAAACAGTTAAAGTACTTAAGTTGTTTACAATTGGAGTGTGCAAGCTACATTTTAAAAATATTTAGATGAATTTAGTTAAATTCTATCTAAAGCAGAGTTCATTTTAATGAGATTTTATGCAAACAAGTTGGTCGGGACAGTAGGTAGTTAAAAGTGGAAACATTCATACTGCTACAATACAGCATACATCTCTGAAATTACACCCAAATGTGTTTCAATGCAAAATACAAGTCAGTCAGCCAGAAGCAACAACCAACCAATCTTCAGTTGTTGTAGTCACATGTGAATGGTGATGTTGGACCTTAAAGCCATCACTTTCCAGATTTTGATCCTATCCATAAAAACATGGCTAAAATAACATACACACAAATCATTAGTTTACTGACCACACAATCATTTCATGACTGAACAAACAAGTGGGAATTTCTTTGAAAAATTGAAGTCCAACACAAAATAACCATTTGTTCTATCAAAACTTACAGGTTCATATATAATTTGAATCTAAAATCAAGTACATGTGAATATCTGAAAATGTGAAACAAAGTCACCAAGTAATTCTGAAAACACCTATACCACAGGGGTGCATATTTATCTAAGGGATGAATAGTGTAATTTTGCAATGATGGCATTCTGATTCACGTTCACCTAGCTACCTTGAACAGCACTGCCTGTTTTTTTTTGTTTAGTGTAGTTAGTAAACATGCCCATGTCATGGCTCACTGGGGTAACGTGCTGGAAATCAAGCCCTGCTATTCCTAGAGTTGTGACAAAAGTTGAATGCTTTAAAAACTATACCAAGATTCCCCAGTTGACCTGATTTTCAGACCCAGGTTGACAAAGCATAAACTATATTTCTGTATTTAACAGTTTATTGCAAGTAATTAGACTCTAGCTACAGGTAAACACAGTCATGAACCGTCATATTGCTCTATTAATTAAAACTGTAATCCTCTAAACTCTTTTACATACATACATAGCCACACAGATAGACAATAAAACAAACACGGGTTATGAACAGAAGGAAACTTGGAAAGCAGTTCAATAGTCATTATTCATTACATTGGTGAGATGATGTTTTTGCTGATCAGATTGCTGCTTTTTGGACATCCTCTCTAAAAGCTTCCATTGGTTTCCAAGAGGCACGTTTGCTAATTTAATTGATAAGTCAGAGACGTTTTATATTCAAAGTCACAATTTATATTTCTTCAAGCTTACAAGTGGCTTTTACTGCAGATAAAGGCAATGAACCCGAGCTGGAGACCCGAAAGCTTCTTTGTACGACATGCACAGCTCCAAGCTGTCCAGCTACGAGAGAACCAGTCACATTTATTGGCAGGTAGAAGAACTTTGGCAATGGTCACTAGCCCACAAACCAATCTGCTACTTGTTACCCACTAAAGGTCAACCTTCAGCTCCAGTTCATCTGCAACTACTGGTGTAATCCACAACTGTTGTTACAATGTTCAATGAGTATCTAGTTACTTGCTTTCAAAATGCAACAATACTTGCAAACCCTGGTTTTAAACCTGTTCTTTTCTCATTTAAGTCTACACTAGTCTATAAACAAAATCATCTTTGCTCAGCATTCTTCTTGGCCCACATCTCCTTGCTTACACCAAACAAGTAGCAAGCGGGAGGCTCCAACAAGCAAGCTCATTAGTGCCAAGTACCTTTGCCTCTAATAATGATGTGCAAAACATGAGAGTTAGATGGGTAATTATTAAAAAGTACACGAAAAGTTGTAACATCAAGACTATCAAGGTTCAGAAAAATTGACCTAAAATTATGACATTTCTCAAGTAACAATTCACTTTCAACAGCTGTTGCTGACTCTAAGGTTAGTAGGGAACAAGCTCCGTCACATCCATGCTGGAAAAGTTTACAACATAAGCTGTAAATATACTACACTGGCTTGTTTTAAAAAAAAGGTGAAGATTACACAGTTGCTGTTATTATTAGTCAGACTCACTTAATCTGGTCTCCAGTTTCTGCAGTCTCATCAAAAATGCTGAAAGGAGCTGATGCAGGTGGCAAGCCCACGAATGGGGGCATCAGGCCTGAGACTGAATTTAGATGGCTGTCATCAGCTAGAAAGGAAAAAGAAAGTATTTCATTACAGTACCTTCCACTACCATGTCAAATGGCACATTCTACATATTATTTTATAAATCAACAGCCAAGGCAATGGATGTTCTTCACAAATATACTCAGAAAGACATGTATAATTGTCTGCAACACAAGATCTGAACTTTATATAACAAGTGTCAAGAATCCCAAAAGTATTGTGGTCATCTTATTCCAAAAGAAAATATTCCCTACCATAGAGTCCGTTTATAACAGTAAGAGCTCCAAAAGTTAAAACAGAATTTTCATCCCTTACTTCAGTTCAGACATTTGGTGAGTCAGACATATTTCAAGTGCAGTTTGTGGATTACAGTCCAGCACCATTGAAAATCATACCACCACTAAAACTGGGCAAACGTCAAATCATCTCCTTTACCACATTTCATAAACTGTGCTTCATATTCCAGGTCTTCCTTGTTGCAATCACAAGGTACCGAATTCAGACTTTCAAATTGACTTTTATCACTCATTTGGGAACAAGTAACAGGGTCAGAGAACATGTGGTTTATGGTATCTGTAATAGAAAAGTAGGAATGCTATTAAGCCAAGAGTTTTCACATTTGGAACGTGTTTTAACAAGTAAATTCAATACCCTAAAATTTTTTTAAATAGAATCCCTAGTGTGGAAACAGGCCCTTCGGCCCAACAAGTCCACACCGACCCTCAGAGCACCCACTCAAACCCATCCACCTAATCTACACATCCCTGAACACTGAGCAATTTAGCATGGCTAATCCACCTAGCCTGCACATCTTTGGACTGTGGGAGGAAACTCACGCAGACACGGAGAGAATGTGCAAACTCCACACAGACAGTCGCCCGAAGGTGGAATTGAACCCGGGTCCCTGGCGCTATGAGGCAGCAGTGAACTGGAAAGATTTCCAAATACTGTACACAGCAGATTAGGAGGTGCAGCTTTACTTCCGTGTGAACTTTGCTGTTCCAACCATCATGGAGAGGGAAAAAAAAAAAAAAAAATGTAATAACCACCCTTGGACTTCTAACCGATAGCGATTGGTTTCTTTCTGAAAAGTAGTTGCATTTCAAGAAACAATTCAATGACTGTAAAAAAGGTGTTTTGGGGTGACTTCATCAAAATAAGCCAGACACTGTCCACACCAAGTTTAGCAAATTTCTAAAGAGCAAAACAAAAACACTTTTTGATAAGAATTAAACATGAAACAGAACTAGTTTACGCAAAGATAGATAGTTAGGCTAAAATGACCCTTATGGACAACAACAAAAAACAAGCCCCTTAAGTATCCTCTAGGTTTCAATGAGATCATCTCCCATTCTTCTAAATTCCAGTGAACAGAGTCCTAACCTGTTTAGCCTTTGCTCATAAGCAAGCCCACCACACTAGGATTCATCCTAGTGACCCTTCTCTGTACTGCCTCCAAATGAAATAGTATCTTTCCCTAAATAAAGAGAACCAAATTTTGTCTCTGTACTCCATATGGGGTATCACAGCATCTTGTACAATTGTGGTAAGACTTCCTGCTTTTGTATGCCAACCCTCTTGAAAGTAGGGGCAGCATCAGTTATCCACTGTACCTGTGTGCTAGCTCTGTATTTCATGCACAGATATCCCCAAATCCTTTGTGTTGCAGCTTTCTGCAGTTTTTCCATTAAATAATACTGATATTTTGATCTCCCTTTCAAAATAAACAACTTATTTACAGTGGGAAGTACTTCAAACATTCCATTAATACTAAAGATTACAGGAGAGGAATTAAGTACCATTAACCAGCGTGAAAGAAGTATTAAAATAAAATCATAGGGTTAAAGGCAGATAATGATTATGATTATGATTTTCCAAAAGCATTGCCATTACTTCTTTAATAACTGACTTTAACATTTTCCCACATTATACTCAGTTTGCCAATGCTTTGCCCACTTACTTAACCTATCAATATCTGTGAAACATATCCCTCTTGACCTGCCTTTCCATTCATTTTTGTATTGTAGCCAAATTTGCAGATGAGACATTCACTTTCTTCCTCAGAGTCAATTATATGCATAGTAAGCAGTTGCAGTCCCAGCACTGATCCCTGTAGAACCTGAGAAAGAAGCCCACCCCTCCACTTTTGCTGTTCCTGCCCATTAGCCAATTCACTATCCACGCCAATATACTATCCTCAACACCATGGGCCCTTACGCCTTAATCTTTGGTGAGGCACTTTGCCAAATGCATTCTCAAAGTCCAAATACAACACATCTATTGGTTCCCCTCTGGCCATTTTGGTTGAGACTTTCATAAAATTCTAATAAGTTAGTCAGACACAATTTCCCTTCCATGAAGCCAACCTGACTGTGCGATTAGATTATGATTTTCCAAATGCATTGCCATTACTTCCTTAATAATTGATTTTAACATTTTTCAACAATTAATGTTAGGCTAATCAGCCTACGGTTAACAGCTTTTGCCTTCCTCCCTTTTTGAATAGGGGTGTTACATTGACATTCCAATCCTCTGGTATTTCTCCAGAATCAAAGGATTTTTGGAAAATTACGACAAATGCATCCATTATATCTAGCTGCTTCCTTTTGGATCCTAGGATGGAAGCCCTCAGGGATAGGGGACTTACCTGCCTTTAACCCTATTATTTTATTTAATACTACTTTCACGATGGTTAATGGTACTTAATTCCTCTCCTGTAATCTTTTGTATTAATGGAATGTTTGAAGTACCTCCCACTGTAAAGCCTGATGCAAAATATGTTTGATTCTTCTGCTATTTGTCATTCTGCATAACTATCTCCTAGATTCATTTTAGGGTACAGCAGGAAGCTCGTATTGTCTGTTTTTATATTCTTTGTTTGCCCTTGTACTTTATTTTTTCTGACTCTATTGTCTTTATAGACCTCTTTTGCTGGACACTGAATTTATTCCAGTTTTCAGGGCTTTCATTGACTCTTGACCCCTTATATGCTTTTACTTTCAACTTTACACACTCCGTAACTTCCTTGGTTAGCCATGATAATTGATATGAAAACCAAGAGATGACAATCCATTTAAATAATTAATGCAAGTCATTACTTCTAATAGGGAAGAGGATCACGTATCAGACATCCAAGAGGAAATTAATATTGAGACAAGTGTAGGGACTTAACTAATGCAAGTTAACAGCAAAGACGACTACAACTGCTTGACTGACAAACCCCCAATTTGAAATGGCTTCCATGACGAGATATTAAAAAGGTAGGTGAGAATATTCCACAAGCATCATAATCTTCCAAAGTTCTCAATTTTTAAAACACATCAATTTTAGGATCTAAACAATATCATTCCATTATTTAAGTAGTAGAGGAAACAAGTTAATTTAATAATATCAGTTATCCAATCTAGTGGAGGGCCACAATTAAAATCTAAGATTAAGGATTAAGTAGCTGAAAATTTTCAGCTGATTAGACAGGAAGCGCAGATTTTAAAAGACAACATCGTGAATGATTGGATTTTGAGATCGATTGAAGTATTGGACTGGAGAATAACTAAACATGTTATTTGTATGAATGTTCAGAAGACATGTGAAATTGACCACCCCTTGAGGCTAATAATTAAAACAGAGGACCATGGCACTATAAAAAGGTAAATTTTTGCCCAGATCAGGAAACTTGGAATTTATTTCCATTTAATCACTCCTATTCTTGACCCAATCACAAACTTACCCTTTCTTCATCCTACACTACAGCCTGAGAAAAACATTATGTTTCCTAGTTCCAAGGAAAGGTCACAGTCCTTCGACAAAAGGTCAGTTTAGCTTCTCTCTCCATAGAGACTGCCAGTCATGCTACATTTTCCAGTATTTCAGTCTACTTTTTGGCTAAGTGGAAAGAGACAGAGTTGGAATAATGGGCACACCCTCTTATTGGCAGAACATAACTAACAACATCTCTCACAGGGATTTTTGTTGGAGTCTGAAATATTTTTTATTTATTTGCTCATCTAAGGCATTAACAGAGTGCCAACATATCCAAGTTTCCTGTTGCCAAATAGGGCAAATGGAAGCATAAAGTGCCAAATTAATTTCAACTTAGGCATATGATTAAGGTTAAACAAATTTTACATATCTACCGAAGCATTTGATTGCTTCTTTTGCAGCCTCCTGTTACCAGGATAGCAAATGCACTAAAGATAAAATAGTGAGTGTGTGTGGATCAAGAGGTGGATTGAAAGTTTTTCTCTACCATAACCATATCATAGAGATCACCATAGTAACAGATGGAGTAAAAATACTGTACTAATTTCAAAAAACATCTTTTGAAAGTATAGAAATCAATATAAATACTGGGAATAATGAAATGATAGTTTAATGTTTCCATGTACGGCAAACTTATTAATCACCACCTATGGGACTAGGAGTGTACTGGTTGATCAAATATGCTGTTGATCAAGAGGTCCAAATAATCAATGTAAAAACACACACCAAGTAATAGAAACATAATGTGGGGGGTATATATACTCTGTTATACTTTATTTACAGCATAAAATCACTGAAATAATAATGCAACTTTGCCTTAAATAAAGCTTACCAAAGAGCCTTTTCACTTGCAGCCTCAAGTGACTACCTGGACATTGCAGCGATTGCAATAATACAGTAAACTGTTGATATTTCAGGTACATAATTTTTGCCGGTTTATCAAGTGTGCCAATCAAAATGTGCCAGTTAAAACAAAGTTTGCTGCAATGTTAATCCATTGAAATACTTTTTCATCCATTTAAAAGAGATCCAGTGTGAACTTTGTTACTGCTGCTCTGGGTGTGATTAGAAAGCAAAGTTCCACCTACTCGGAGCAATCTGACATCATACTCATCTCCTCCACATAAATATCTGAAAGGCCATTCTGCATCATGTAGATGAACTGTGTGTTTTAACGAAATTGTAATTTTAAAGGTTTCATATCCACAAAAAGAACAAAAATAAACTTAAATGCATTTCAGATGGCTTCCCTGCATCCAGCAAATTATGGGGATGCTTCAAATGGATCTACATTCAAATCCTGATCAGAGTGAACAATCAATCCAGTAGAATGGGGATAAAGAGAAATTAGCTGCCAAAACTTATCTTTCACTCATCAGAACACAAGAATGCTGAATTTCAAAACAATATTCATTAACATTATAGGAGCAACAGATGCTAAATTGGAAAAAGGTGAGCCAAGGAGAAAACAATGAGGAAAACAATTGCAAACAATTGCAAACATTTGGGGGGCGGGGGGGGGGGGGGGAGGAGAGAAAAAAG